AAAAAAACAAGCTTGTATCAGACAACTGAAGAATACATGGCAGAGATTTAGATAAAAAAAACAAGCTTGTATCAGACAACTGAAGAATACATGGCAGAGATTTAGATAAAAAAAACAAGCTTGTATCAGACAACTGAAGAATACATGGCAGAGATTTAGATAAAAAAAACAAGCTTGTATCAGACAACTGAAGAATACATGGCAGAGATTTAGATAAAAAAAACAAGCTTGTATCAGACAACTGAAGAATACATGGCAGAGATTTAGATAAAAAAAACAAGCTTGTATCAGACAACTGAAGAATACATGGCAGAGATTTAGATAAAAAAAACAAGCTTGTATCAGACAACTGAAGAATACATGGCAGAGATTTAGATAAAAAAAACAAGCTTGTATCAGACAACTGAAGAATACATGGCAGAGATTTAGATAAAAAAAACAAGCTTGTATCAGACAACTGAAGAATACATGGCAGAGATTTAGATAAAAAAAACAAGCTTGTATCAGACAACTGAAGAATACATGGCAGAGATTTAGATAAATAAATCACTAGTAATCAATTTCTTTTGTTGTATCATGGGGTTCTGGAAGGGAGCCGTTGTCAAAATAGAAAGGAACAGACAGACAGACAATTCCATGATCGAAATTCTTGAGGGAATGGTGCCGAGTCAGAATCTCGATGCCGGTTTGCATCACGAAACGGATCCCAGATAAAAAATATCAAAATAGAAATAAAATTACGATATAATTAACTAAATTAAAGAAATTAACACGATTCTCAATCGGTAAAACAACTATAGTGATATTTTTTTTTGGAGTTAGCATATATGAACGGCAATGATAGCGAGAGACAGGTAGGAATGGTGAAGATTTTTCATGATACAATGTCCATCTCACTGCGTTATCTGTCATTAGGGATCTCTAATTATATTTTTGGTCTCTGTAGGGAACGGGGTTTCAATCGGTGTTCCAATCGATGGTTACGCATGCCCTTAATTAACCCGGACTGCTCACGTATCGTGCCAGGTTTCGCCGAAATAAATCTACTAAAACATTTGATTTATCATGAGAGTAGCGTACTTTAAAACGTGCTCCCTTGAAAAAATGAAAATTTAAACTCATTGATTATTTTCAGTGGTAATTCATAGAATGCAACAACTCATTCTAAGGCCAACTCAATTCGTCGACTTCGTTCAAATATATTTTCAGTATAGTTCAAACGATGATTTGTCTGACGTAAAACAACAGAAATTGAATTTTTTAGTTTAGTTAGTAAAAATTAACTTGGATGTTTGACCTAGGCCTGTGTATGTAGATACATCTGGCTATTCATGCACTGAGGCCTATAATTCACACAGAAACCATCGAAAACCGAGTTCATCCCGCTGTTTTTGAAAGCTGTTCTCGAAGTTGATATGTTCACATGTGTTCAGCAACGCTCTCTGCAACCTCGTTCACAGGCGCCTGCGAAGGAATTAAACTCTTTGAAAGCGATGGTCGTATTTGTGTAACGCACATAAGAATATGAAGTTAAAATAGAAAAAACATAGTCATGAAAATGTCCATGCGGAGTTGTCAAAATGACCACTCTACGTCCTAGTTTTTCTTAGAAAGTCATGAAAATAATCTATGTTGTATTTGGTGTTATTGGTTTATATTTGACGTGAGCCGGTGGACATCATTTGTTTGGAATAGACGACAAAAGATTCAAAAGAAATAACATTGTTCGTAGTGCGAGACATCTGGAATACACAAGTGTGGATTGTAATTGTAAATCAATGATGAAGTTTCTTCTTTTCTGCTTTTAAAGTGATGTTTGCTGAGACGAGCTGTTGAAAGAAGAAATTATAATCAGCTGGTATCAAATCCTATCTAGTTCCAGTCACACTCGTCCAAAGAATTATGCGTCCACACATGTACCACCGTGTACCCTAAACTTTTAGTGATATTTTTTAAACTGGCCCGACGCGGATTAAGGTGCTAAATCAAACTGCTTTAGAGGATTAGAACTAAAACGCATTTCAGTGCGACAACTTGGTTGAATTGTAGTTATCGCTCTCGACAATTTAAGACTAGGGTCACGCCCAAAGTCCTCCCAAGGCCAAAAACCATACCCTGGCCAGCGGCACGTCCCCGTATAGCAAATATATGGGAGTACCCCCCCCCCCCCCCACCCGGGTGGGGAAGCAATGTTCTCCATCATTGCCGTAGTCTACTCCGCATTTTAATCCACGCTCGCCTTTTTTTCACATCTCTCAATAATAAACACCAGACCTGTAGCGTGCATCTTACCCTGGTCAACAAAGAAGTCGGCGACGTACTGTGTAACGAGTACTCCTTCACTAGAATGGTTGATGTTTTCCTCTTTTGTCCATTCAAATTGGTTTTTTTCTGGATGCCACTGGGTACCATAGAAGGGATACTTGACCGCTGAAATAACAGTTTGCGTTATGAATAAAACAAATAAAAAAGTGAAAGAGTAAACGCTTTCTTACCTTCTACAGTTGAAAGAAAGTTGACTTTATTGTCAATATCCATGTTGGTCGATAGGACTTTTATAAAGGTATTGAGTGAGGTCTGTTGCTTGTATGTCTGTCAGACAGAGAAACACTTTAAGACAAGTAGACAACAGCACGAGTTATGTTGGCGTGCAAACAGCAGTCACACGTTTCATGCTGGTCATCAAGTGAGCTTGCTCAGTCACGCGAAAAATGCAATGTGCTGTTACTTTTTCTCCTTCCCATAAACTCCTCTGAGCATAAAGTATAGCGTCAGGTATAAGGAGGAGATAAAGGAGGAAGTGATATGTCTGATTCAGGAACTGATACAGCTAGACTAACCGAGAAGATAGTGACATAACTTACAATACCTGTACAGATACACAGTTTTGATGCATGTTCAGTGTGACAGGAAGCTTGGCAAGATATGTTTTAATATCCTGGGGAGCCTTGCCAAACATCCTACTGTCTTCATACCCTAGTAGAGAGATAACAGTATATAACTAACATATGTCTGACAACACTTGATATGAATTCTTCTTAAAACTAAAATATAGTACACTAGCTAAGATAGCATTTTCAATTGAGGCCTTTTCTGAGATAGATGCTTGCATTGCATTGTGGTCTTGATTCAGTACAAACATCTTTTGTTCATTTTGCCAAATATGGTGTTGTTTGTACTGAATCTAGACCACAATGCACTATGATTTTGTAATTCAGAAAAGGTGTATGGTGGCAGATTTACAGACCTTCAGTGAAATTGAGTGGTAAACTAACATTCTCTCCTTTACAGCTTGTTAAGATGTCTTTTCCATTTGCAGCAAGAACATGCAGCATTTGAAAACCAAGACACGTGCCCCACAATGGAAAAACATCACCGGCATCATTAGCCTGTTTATAACAACATAATATGAGTTGACTGCATTTGATTCTAAGATACTGAATGATTGAAATACTTGTTGGTGGCTTTATGACAGCAGTGTAAACAAACAAAACAACAACAACAACAACGAAAGAAAATGAAATAGAACACATTCTGCATCATTGTTTGTTATTAATATTCAATAAAACTTCACCACTGAATTCAAGTAATAAATACCTTAGCCTGCGTAGCGGCCCTAAGGGGATTGGTGAGGACCGGCCAAGCTGGGAGTCGGGAGAAAAATAGGAAAGGCCCGCAACAGAACCCAACGGTTTTACAAAATCTACAGTGGAGTATGGACGTAAATTCCCCATTGGTCAAGAGGAACAAGCTATCAATCAAATGTCAAAGTGATAGATACCAGATCAAGTTGGTGTATTTACCAACATGGCGTGGCGACTGAAGAAGGTTTTCGTAATCAGTTAGAGCTTTTTTTAAGTGATTTAAAAGAAAATGAATTCGACATAATAATCAGGGAAGAACAGCGACAAGCCTTGGCCTGGACTTTTTCCTGTTGGTGTTAAGAATTTTCGTTTAGAAGAACCTTTAATAGTATTGGGAAACTGTGGCACTTTTGCCAGAACTTCGTAGAATTTACAAAATATATTTGCCTTTTTAGCACAAGGGAAACAGATGTTATCTTCAACGATCTCGGCAAATACAGTAAATAAACTGAAACTCTTGACCTCGCGACCTCATTCGTGTCTAACTGTCAAGTTAGATTTTCCAGTCTTTTGAATTATTAATTAGGGGGCATTTTATAAAACTGTGGGGTTTTCTTGCAGGCCCTTCCTTTTTCTCCTCCCCATTCTCCGCTCAGCCCTCCCCAATCCCTTAAGGGCCACTATGCAGGCTATAAATACCTTGACAGCTAAATCAAATATCACCCTGGCTGTCTTTGCATATCCTGATGTCCACAAATCAACATCACCTCCAGGAAAAAGGACTCTGAGAAAACAATACAATGATGGCATATTAATACCTATAATTAATAATATATTAATATTAATACCAATATGAGGGGACACAGATTTTATTTTAGGATTTTTACACAGGAACCCCATAAAGATCAAACAAAAGGACTAATCAGAAATTATTACTAACCCATTTATAGAAGAAAACAGGTCCTGTATTTGCTGATCTGTAAGATCATTTCTGTTGGAAAAGAATGTAAACATCATGCCTGTGAACATTCTCCTACCCACATCCTTCTCAATCTGGTTGAGGACCCAGAATCTTGGTTATATGGTATATGCATACTGATATGAAAGCAAGGGAATATTTGAACCAATCTCATTCGTCACCCAAAAAAACAACATTTAACACCATGTTGGCACTCCTGAAGCCACGGGCTTCCTGTGTGACATCTTCAACCGTTACTTTTCACCGATTCATCTCTTTTTCTCCTTATTTAAAAACATGATTTGCAAATCATTATGAAAATTCAGATAATTACACGACCCTCGCCACCCGGAAATCACGCCGAGCAAGTAAAATTGACTGAAAATACAACGAACTTTTAGCTACCTTATCGGAACCACTCTAGCTCCTGCAGACTCGAGATACTTTATATAAGAAGCTGGGATGAAGGTTTTGCCAAACTGAGCGACTTCATCGGGGCTCTCTTGAGCAAGAACACCTACAAGCAAAGTTTGTCAATTTGTGTCTCCATTTTATATAGTGCTTGATTCAAAGTATATTTACCTATAATTGGTCGATTGTTCAGGCTTTCTTGACTTCCAGTAGGACGACATATCACATCACAATTAAACCAACAAAAAAGCAACACAAAACTATAGACTACATACAACAACATGATGGGACGATCCAGTGACTCGACTAAAGATTTGTTTATCACGGATCAGGTTTTGTATGGCCGTCACGTCGTAGTCACGTTGTTTAGTCACGCGACACACCATCAATCATGTGAACCTCATCTACACGTACATCATGTCACGCTATAGTCACATGTCTAAACACATGAATTTCAATCTACAGTAACAAACCTGGCTTATTCTTTCTCTTCCAGAGAATGCGAACAGTAATACTGATCCAGATCCCATTTTAGGGTTTCAGAGATCTCAAGATCACTTTTTTTTAAACATGTACTTTGAAGAAAAAAAACATTGGAGAACATTCAAAAATATGTTGTAAAGCATTTGCCTGATGAGAAATAATTATTAATCGATTACGTGATATTAGACGAATGTTTGGCAAGGTTTGGTCATCCGGTGGAGATCAGCTGACTTGGGCTACAGAAATGTTTTTTTATATATTTGATGGAATATTGACTATTCTCAAAGATTCCAGAGCAAGCGTGCTAAGCCTCGAATCTATGCGTAAATAATATTTTCTAAGTTTTGAAATAGTCCTGGCGGAGGCCCCCGTACGCGCAATATCGCACCACACCCGGCACATTCACAACGACCAGTATAGTACGACGTGGCTCTGGAGTAAGATTCACTGGAAAAAATCGCGCGCCATTAAGGAAATAAGATGTAAGTGTCCAAAATGATGTAAATTTGATGGAAATGATTTACATCATTTTGGACACTTACATCATATATACATCAAATTTACAACCTTCAAAGCATGCGATTTTTTCCAGTGATTGCCGCATGCGTGTTGTCTCTTAGAGAAGCTGTGTTAGGTTCCTCTGTGAAGATCAATAATGCGAGCCAAGTTGAGCAAAAATCCGAAAAGCGATCTTCCTGCAAAGCGGAGGATTTTTCAACCACATCCAACACCATCAAACAGGGTGACCAAATGAAGGGTCGCCAAACAGTGTTTGGTAACCAATGAGAGCGAGCGGAAACCAAACACATGCATTTTCCAAGAGGAAGTTTATTCTAAAAAGAAACTGGATAGGTTATCGCGACTCGTATGAAACACACACAATAAACATAAAAACTATTTACTTCTCGTTGTATCTTTTTTATAAATGAAATTAAAGTGCTGACTCAAGCCACGGGACAAACGAGATATCCCAAAACCCTTTAACCGTCTGGCCATTTTGTGTTGAAAGTTATTGAATGGGAGCATTAATCATATCAGATGGTGCTTGTCCAACAATGCTGTGTCATCTCGTTTGAGCGGGACTTTAGAGTCATTCTACAGATAATGGTGACGGTCTTTGCTTGACCTCTCTACATGTGTATGGCTTAGTAACTCAAAAAAAACTTACTATTCCACTAGACAAGACGTGCTTATTGTCTAAAACAACATTGTATTCTCTTCGAAACATTGTGCAATATTATCAAGGACAAAATTCGCAAAACGCATATTGACTTTCTTTAAGGCCCACGAACCGGCGACACGGCAGTTAAAGTGTGGACGTGACGAATGGATGCCGCCAAAACTGTCTCTTCTCTTATCAAATATATTCAATCATCTATCGAGGCTGCAGCTTCTGACCTAGATGATATGGTTCACAGAAATCAACTGTGAATGGAACACAGTTTAAATATGCACATCCAACACAAGTTGCCGTCTGAGTGTCTAAAAATATGATAAAAAGCACAACAAACAGGATGATGAGGACAGCAAAGGCTACAAGGATTTGGATGCGTTTCCTTCGTTTGTCCCATGTACCAAATGTCACATATGGAATGAAAATAAATGCGAGAAAGAAACCAAACATGAATCCAGCCATGTGAGCGAAGTTATCGACGTAAGGCAAAAGCCCGACAAGCAGCAGAAGAAACACTACACCACAGAGTTTGAACAAAGCAATAATAGGATGATTCACCATCTGCCAGCTTTGAATGAGTTCCACAAACAAGCATGCAATTATACCAAACATTGAACCAGAAGGACCAACCTACCAATAAATGCACAAATACGTCGTTAATTGTAAAGAAAAAAAGGAGAGAAAAAATAATATACAGTGAATCAAAATATATAAGATAAAAGTGATGATGATAGAGTGATCGCATTTAATCCGTGCAACTGTACAAACTAAATAGGCTATTTAGTTGTATGCATGCGGTACGCAAATTAAATTGAATTGATACAAATGGAAAGCATTCAATACCGTCTTACTTCATGTCCACTTTTAGTACAATTAATACTACTTAGACTTTGTACATTTGCACGCTTTCAGTTAAGCTAGTCAGTGCGATCACTCTAATGATGATATTAATAACGAATGTGATAGTGATTATGATGGTGATGATAATACAACCCACCTCTACTTGATAGGGGATAAGAATCGCGCTAACAAGATATCCACCAATCCCACTGAACACATAAACAATACCGATACGAATCCATCCACAAAGCTTCTCAAGATCGCGTAAGATCGTGAAGTTAAACACCAGTGTACACGCCAGATGAATAAGACTACAGCAAAAATATCATCTTAGTGATCATTATTGGTTTTGAGCAAAAACAAATCAAATGTCATTGCAAACAAAAACAACAGTTTGACAAATCATTGCAAATATTTCAAAGCGTTTGATGATGAGCATGGTGTAAAATCCAGCAAAAAGCAGCATTCAATCACACAAAAACGGACTTAAAAGGTTAAAGGGTAATCTGTATTGGTGATCAAAAGTTTTACCAGCTCACTTTCATCGTTGTATGGACAACTGATTACCCTACGAGTAGAGATAACTTCCTCCACAAACAGCGGGTAATATACATCATAAATCGTCTTCTAGAGACATACCCAGCGTGTAGGAAGATTGCCATCCAAAGACGGTAGATCTGATCAGCGACGTTTTTCTTCAAAAATGGAATCATGCCACATATGTTACCGAGGCAATCAACCTGATATGAAATTGAAAACAATCAATAAACGATCACAGAAAAGGCACATATGAGAGAAAACATGTACCTGTGAACATAGAGTTGCATTCTCATGGAAATAACCTTTCATAAAGTTACATTCGTCCCTGCTAAGAATCTGACATCTTGCTTGTGTCTTGATACAACATGGCCGAGCTGTTACTTCGCACGTCATTTGAGGAAAATCTACTGCACTAACGTTTGTTCTTGTCCTCTTGCAGATCTTGGAGCAGAAACAATCATAGTCATCGCGAAAATATCACTTAAATTACAATCTACATCATAATTGCAATCATACCACTTCTACTTACAGGCCAATCAGTAATGACATCACTCCACTCATATGGCTTAACAGATGGAGGATCTTGACACAACCTAGAAAAACAAATCTTCAACTGTCACACATTCAAAGATTTTCCTAGAGAAAATACAAGTCAAAATGTCACTACATTAATACAGGTTAGAGTTCAGGTCAAGTCACTTACTGGGGATCCTGCCCACATACAGCTCGTGATAAGTTGTTTTTGGAGTACATTATGAAATTTGTGAAGGCTCGCTGAAAAAAGACATATCAACATAAGTATAGTAATACATCTACTACCAATACACCACCAACATAAGTATAGTAATACATCTACTACCAATACACCACCAACATAAGTATAGTAATACATCTACTACCAATACACCACCAACATAAGTATAGTAATACATCTACTACCAATACTCCACCAACATAAGTATAGTAATACATCTACTACCAATAC